TACCTGTTTGCTGCACTACTGCAGGTACAGATATGTTTGTACATCATTTTACAACATTGTAAGGGTGTCGTTGAGGAATTCTGAAATATTGATACTTGCTTCTTGGTTATGACATACAAATATTATGTAAAAATCATTGTTCACTAAATCTGGCTATGCTTTCTTCAGGTCATGATCCTCCTCTACCTGGCAGACTGGATGGTCCACTGGATGTGGGGTCGGGGCATGGACCCTGACAACTTTTCCATCCCGTACCTGACCGCCCTGGGTGACCTGCTGGGGACTGGCTTCCTAGCCCTGTGCTTCCACTTGCGCTGGTTCATCGGGGACAGAGACACTAACGCGGGCAACTGAATGCATGCACAGATACACGCGCTCACACACACACACACACACACACACACACACACACACACACACACACACACACACACACACACACACACACACACACACAACTTAAATCCTTACTGTATCCTTGCACGCTCGAGCAGTGACGAACATCACTCGCATTGCCTGAACACTGAAACTGGACATCTACAACGAAAGGGCTAAACTGACTGACGGTGCATATAGTGCACGTAGCATTTCATCTTCAGGATATCAGGACACTGTTGCTCAGCAGCAGCCCACAAATCCACCTTAGAGAAAATGGAATGTCTTCACCTCAACCACGCAACAAAACCCCACCAGTGATGGATTCATTACTCCACCGTTATTTTACTTAATGAGTCCTGCCACTTTTGTTATCATACCATTGACAATGATTGTTATTGTTCAAAAAGATGCATTTGATAGCTGATATATGAATGGATATTTGTTCTATGTGCACGGCCAGTCCTCATTATTTTCAATGGGAACATTCGCCGTCTTGTTTTTAAAAGCATTTAACACTTGAAACCTTGACAGAAAAAAGACAGCAAAAAGAAAAAACATCCAAACAAGCCTAGAATGCATAATCACCAAGTGCTACTTCACGTATATAGAATGATAATTATATGAGATCTAATGGAAAATCTGATTTACTAGAACCTATAGGACTGTCCTCCTAGTAGGGAGCTCTTTTAGGGGGTTTCACTATAGGAGACTGGACCACCAACTAGCTAAATCCCTTTTTAACATTGTTTCCATGGGTGGATGGCTCCATTTGAGTCAGGGTGTGAAAATGAAGATGTGAGGCTTTGTTTTCCGTAGCTGTTCACACCCATTTCTGGCATTTAAAATAAGGACTACCAGACCTGAGGGGAGTCCAGCACTTCAGACAGTCACTATAACAATGGACTCGTCTCTTAGTTTTAACATGATGTGTTGGAAATCACATAATTAGTTTATTTAGCCGTGCTGTCCTCACAGGTTACACTGCTTCCATTGTTGGCCAACTGTGCTCATAAAACATCCTTATTCACAGAAAAAACAAGCAAATACACTTAAGAAAAAATAAATATGTGTGTAATGGCTGTGTGACTGTCAGTCAGGAGTGTATCAAAACTCAACTCCCTCTGACCTTGAGCTCCACTTGTGGTGCCAAGAAGTCAGCAAAGGTCGAACTGTACCCTGAGCAGTTCCAGGTGAGAACAGCACCAGTGCCCCTGTATGTAAGCTTCTGCCAACTTTCTACTGAACAAACAAAACGTTTGTTGCTGTTTATCCCAAGCCAGGCTTTCAGTAAGTGACAAGAGGCTCAACACGCTGTAGTGCACTGGAACAAGCCTGCAGAGTTGGGACAGAGTCTGAAAGTGTGTTAAGTTGTCTTAGCCAGGCCGCCAGGTTATGCTGACTCGTGTTCAGTCTGGCACCAGATGAAAGGTAATGATGGCAGATATTTTGTGTGAATATTTGGCCGTACTAAATGTTTGGTTCCCACAGAGCAATTAGGCCACGTTAGGGTAGTGAATTAAGGGACAGCTCAAGGAACTGCGTCAGGTCATAGGAGGATATGGGGAAGAATTTTAGTCAATTCAGATTCATGCAAATGTCAACATAATTTTCCAAATTCTTTGTAATTCTAAATTCGTCTGCCTGAAAACCCGGTGAGACTACACAATGAAGTCCCACATGTAGCAGTTAAATCTCCTGCAGAATTGCAATAATCAGGTGCAGCAAATTTGAGTTCTAACCCTTGACCCAGATAGAGTCATAGCTCACTAACCAGCAATAACCCTCTGCTACTATAAATTGCTGAATAAAAATGTGGTTTGGAGATTTCTGTAGTATAGAATAGTAACAGTAGAACTGGTTTTGTACGGCCATTGTGGAGTTTCCTGTGCTCCTTGTTCTTGGGCAAATTTCACCAGGAGACCTGGTTTTGTCCTTCCATTGAAATACATGCTAAGTTAGGTTAATACCCCCCGAGAAAAAAAAGAGTAATTCAAGACAAAAAAAAGAGTTTAACACTACAATAAGTTAATTAATTAACTTATTGTCATGATGCTAAAAGTTCACTAAGCCATCTAAGCTGTCAGTTAGCAATAGTTAGCTTGGTTTAAAAGAAAGAAAGTTCAGATTCTTTCAGACTCTCAAAAGCTTCCTATGTCAGTAATAAGTGACAGGAAATGATGGAAAGAGACCGTGGATGACATGTGAGGTCATAAGGCTGCATGTATGTACACTAACCTTAACCCCATCTCTGAGAACTTTTACCCCTTTCCAAGAACCTGTTTACTTACTGTCGGAAATTATGTTTATTACTATTAGTTATTAGTATATAGGACAGAGTCACAAAGCAGATAGCTGTTTTATGAAAGTATAGCTTGTAGCTTTCCTACAAATATAGGATTTGGGTGTGAAATCACATTGCCAATAGGAAACTGCTTTTCAACAAATCCCAGAACGTTGATTCTGTTGACCTGGACGTAGTGTTTTCAGATCAACGGCGACTTCTTCAGCCTCAGCTGACTGCAGGTTTCTCCAGCCTTGTAAACAGTATATTTGCACTGACTAACTCCTTTGTAACATAGTAGCTCTGTTTCTTTTGATTTGACTGCATTGGTTTGCAAAATGCCAAACTCTTCCACCTTTTTTTTCTCGAGTACAGACTAATGTTACCGTTCTACTGCTTGGTGTGATTGAGCACCGAGGCAGAATTCATTATTAGTTGTTACTTTTCCCCAGTTATGCCAAAGTGTGTATTTTCCCTTTTGTTTTTGAAATGATGTCTGATAATAAGGGAGGAAAGTGTTTCATAGGAGTAACTGAATACTATTTAACCACATTTTAATCATCATTGACATAATGAGAGAACTTTAGCGTGTGCCCCACATCCACACAACTGATCTGCCATCAGCTAACTCTGTATTCAAGGGCTCGCAGGTGAGGAGGAGAATGAAACGGGAAGTGGTGAGCCATGTTGACAGACTGTATCGAGTGCCGGTGTCAGTCCAGGAGAAACCTGCATGTGATGCTTGACTTAACTGTTTCCAAAGGGGGCCAGCAGAATGCATGTGCAGGGAACATGGTGTGAATGTGCAAAACTTGATTATTGTATCTGTTTAAAATCTTTGATCTCATGATGTTTTTTAAAGTGTCAATTATGTTAAAATTGTGATTTTTTTTCTTTGTTTTCCTTTAATTCTTTGCCTCCTTTCTTCTTAACGCTTCATCATTATAGTTTTTTGTCATGAATTTGATCAAACAACCACTGTAAACACTGTCTCCCAGCTGGTCAAATGCAACATTGTACTGTAATCTGCAAAACCGCCTCCAGAGGGCACTGCAGGGATTCTTCTAACTGTACATCTCCTGTGTGTGTCCTCTGGATTCACATCCTCAGCTGGAGTGACATCATTGGTTTTGTCTGCTTTTCTACAGTATTTAACTTGTAAGAGTTGCACCCCTCCACTCAGTCTGTACCCTCCACTCTCTTACTGACCAGGTGCCAGCATTCTGCCTCGACGTCAATGGAAAGTTGTGAATACTTCAAAAATGGGGCATGTAATGCTTTATTTATTTTTAGAAACACACAAAGCAAATTGTACATACTATATTTATTCTATATATAAGGTTGTTTATTTTTAATTTTGGCTCAGTATCACGGTCACCATGTCTTCGTTCTATTCTTTGCTGAAGGCCAGTAGAGCTTTTTTGCACTCTCTGCGATAGAATTGCAGTGAGGCTAATGACTAGCACAGTGCCTAATACCTGTCCTTACACACCTCACACACACGCTCACGCGCCCTATCTCGCACAGGGAAAGCATACTTATGAGACATAGAATGGCCTTAACCTATCAGAGCCAAGCTCTATTCAGAATAACTAATCAGGAACTAGGTTCACCACAGAGTAGTGTCTGTTTATTTAGCTCTGATTTTGAAAAACAAAAAAACAACTGTACAATATGTTGATTATGTGTAATGTAATAATGATTTTATATGACGCTGCAGTGGAGATCAGTTCTTGTTCAGTTCGGAAGCTGGTAGACCCCCCAGCAAGTTGCTTTACACGGCATCTGGGAAGTCTGGGATTAGAAATAAAGAGTCCAACACACCTAAAGAAAACACAGAGTTCTCTGGTTCTTTGTCTTCTTATGAATCCAGATGTATCCTTCCCTCTATCTTACATTTCCAGCCTTTAAAACCCCCCACCCACCTGCTGCCTTGTTAACCTCAGTGCTTCGAATTGTTGAACCCCTGAACTCACAGGGAACCACGCTGACCCCCAGACTGCCATCGCTGACTTTAAATATCAGCTTTTGACTCTTAATGTCAAAATTATTTTAAACACATGGACAGTCTTACTGGGTCTGAGGTCTTTGTGTTCTCTGTGTGTTCCTTTTGTAAAAGCCTCCCTCTGTGAGGCAGGAGGAAGGCTTTCTTCCTGCAGGACTTTGTAAATTGCTGGAAATAAATAAACTATATTATTTCATACCATCCCTGTGTGTGTGTGTGTGTGTGTGTGTGTGTGTGTGTGTGT